GTTGCCATTCCCAGCTCTCTAAAAAATACCTGATAACACAGAACAATTAATACTGTGATGTAGCTATTGCTTCAGCATCATGCCAGCCATTTTTAAGATTCCCTGAACACCTGCATAGAGAAAGAGTTGATGTCTGGCAGGCCAAGGGTCAGATACTATCTGACCTTATGGTCTTAACTCAGCGACAACTTCAAGTGTCTGCTTAGCTGCAAAGGAGGAGGCTCTGCCTCCTCACTTCACCGTGTACTTTTCCTCCTTGTCAGGAAAGCAATGATGCTAGTGCTCATAAGCAAGCTGTGGTAAGGCCTAATCCTGCCCCATGGACTTCAACAGGACTTGTGCCATCAACTTCAATAGGTGCAAGATGCATCAGTAAAGGATAGCTTTTTCACAGATAAGGGCGCAGATTAGCAGGATTTGTGCTGATTTTCAAAATTGCAACAAGGGTATATTGGCCTTTTTAGGTGGCAGGTACCTTTAGAAAACTGGTCCCTGCCCACTGAACCATTTTTTCCTCCAAGAAAAAGGATGCCACAAGAGACCTAACTGACTTTACCTTTTCATTATTGCCACATTCACAGCTCTCAGCTATGATGCTATGGCTGTCATTCAATCCTGATGCTAGCTGCTGAACCTGGGCATAGAAAAAGAATCAATAGGCTTTGTCAAGTGGTAGAAAGAGCCAAAGAACTCGTGACAAACAGGAAAGGGATCTAGCGGTGCCAACAGTTACTGAAACTCTGTGAGAAATATATTTAACAAAGTGGAATTTTTTTTGAGCATTGTAACATGTAGATCAATTGACTACACATCTAACTGCATGGATGATTTATCCCCAGATACTGAGTGCTGTACACTGCAGCACTTGAGTGTCATTCCTCAACGTGCAATAACGAAGACTAATTTTTGCTCCTAGCATAGCAACATTCCTGCCAAATCCATGAATATTCATTTCACATAGAGGTAGCTGCACCTAAAATTGTGCAGATAAACCTCTGCTGTATTTATTTAGATATCTGGAATAATCTGCAGTCTGGACACCTACACAGAAATACAGATCTCTGGCCAGTTTAGTGGCCACAGAAGAGATCATGCTTCTAGGCAAGGGAAGTGTATTCCATCTCATAAAGCCCAGAACACAGAAACGTTTGGATGTGTGCCACTGGAGAAACTTATTCACTGGACTCAGCAACAATTGGAGACATTATTACAGTTCATTCTGGATAGAATTGTGGAAAAGTAAAAGCAACACTTATTAATGAGATGATTATTCATAGACTGTCTTTATCCCCCTCTTCCTCCACCAATTCAGAATTGGCTGCTTCTAAGTCCTTTCACAAAGCCTCACAATAAGACAAGAGCCTTCTCTGCAACTTTGACATCTGGAACAACTCTCATATTTCTCCATCTTGCCACTTCTCCTTCTGTCTTCAGACCTCATAAGAGTCCACAGCTTGCTGCTCTGCTGGAACAGTGAGATTTTCCTCAATTGTTCTGTTATTTTTCATATTTCATTTCATGTAGGTCTAAGTATTTTGTCTGTACATATCTATGAATGTCTGCCACCTTTCATAAACCAGTTTTATCTAAAGGTGGTTGTTGTTTTTTAAATGGTATCTGTTTGATTTATGTAGTGGATAATTTTATTTGGAAGGCACAGTGGATGCATGCTAACCACCAGAGCTGGCTCAAGGGTTCTTATCAGCATAAGCAAACTAAATTGTGCTGCCCTGAGGATGAAGTGCCTAGGTTACACCCAGAACTGGCTTTTTCTGCCAAAGTGACCAGGATTCAGAAAAGGCTCACATGCCCCATTTTCCCAAAGTAGCTGCTGTTTCATACGTTCTCATCCCCCCTTGTGGCAGCAGCAGCTGCCAGTCTGGTTTTCAGGGTTCTGTCAGGGCCCATTCTGCCATCCCTATTGCTGCCTCCTTTGCCTGTGCTTAGATCTAGCCCTGCCAAACTCCAAGAGATTAGCCTCGTTCAAGAATAAAGAAAAATCCCAACCTCAAATCTGCCTGTGCTTTCAACCTATGTATATACCTTCATCTCACTAGAAATTATTTATATATCAATAATCTTGCTTGCAAGGTTGAAAGACAAAATTATGTGCATCTTTATATATAGTATGTGCCAGTTTCCACCTTGTCTGGATTTTAACTCTTAGTGAAATCTACAGCATTACGTTAAAAAAACCACCTCTGCTCAAATTGCCAAGATCATTACTAATTTCTTGTCTCTGGTAAATAAATTAGGTAGGTATGTTCGTGTATACACGTTTGTGCAGGCACCTACTCCATTCAAAAGGGAATGTTCGTGTTTTGTGCTTTGAGTGATCAAAATTTTGCAAGGGCACTTAAAAAAATAAAAACTATAAAGCCAGATAGGCACAATGCAGGGTGTAGAATGGTATGTAAGGGCCTAAGTATGTGCCAGGTTCCCATTAGGATACATGCCCCGGTAAAGTCTAAACTCATGCTCCACGATTAAGAAAGATTTACTATACTACTTCAAAAATCCCACAACACACTTAGTCCCTGAGCACAAGGCTGCAGTGATGTAAGAGACCTGCTCCCCTGCTGCTGGATACCTTTTCTTATTAGCAACTGACCATGAAACGCATAATAGTTCACATTCATATGCAATATATTCCAGCAAGGAAAGCATCGGAGCTGATGCTTTTGCTGTGCTCTCATTCCCCCTTCCTGCAAGATGAGGAGGAGAACATGTAATACAATGAAGACTAACCCATTCTGGAAGGAATGCAAGTCTGTACTGAAACAGTGAATTTTGCCCTTGAGGTGATGAATACAATCAAAGAACAAACCATTTTGCAGAATTCATTACATCTGTGGAAAGAAATCCATGGGTCTGTTTTCCAGAGCTGGGACAGCCTGTCTCAGGTCCAGACTTGCAAAGTGCTGGGTCAGCTCTGGAGAGGAAGGGGTGGCTTGGCAGAAATAGTAAAGCTGGTTAGGGAGTAAGGGAAAACTGCCAAATCCACAAGTCCTGATTACAATTAGTAGATTTAATAGACTCTTCTGTTATGAGATCTTTAAAACGGAAAAGAAAAGATTAGAGAATGTTTAGCCCTGTTCTAATGCGTGTAGTTACATCCCCGTACATTAGCCGCCCCAGGGCACCCCACTTCATTTGCATTACACAGGCAGCAGAAAAGGGATGGAAATGGCCTCTTTCAGTGACTGATGGCCAGAGAGGGGGTTTGATGTGCAGCACAGGGCTGGCGGTGTAGCTTGAAACAGAGAGGATGGGAGAAGGAGCAATGCCAGCCATCGTGGGTTTCCCACCACCCAGCAGGAGGTAAGGCAACTGAACGTAAGTGAAGCTAATCCTGAACGCTAAAATGTCCCCGAAACCCAGAAAATACAAAGGTGTCTCACAGCTGAGCATAAAACTAACAGAGTGCTGTTAGATTTATGTTCCCCTCAGACCTCAGGCATGCCAAAAGTAGTACAGTTCTCATTAATAACTGCTGTTATCATTTAAAAAAAGGCTGCTAAATCATTATTGACTTAATACATCAACAAGAGACCACAACAGTCAAGAGGTTTATCGATGAAATCACAGAAAAGGCAGCTTACTTTTGAAACGGCCTATGATAAGGATACATAGGAAACAAAATAAAGGATGCACTGATCTATTTTTTCTTAATTTATTCCATGTAATTTATATTTTTATAGTAATTATGTGCTGTCAGTGATTTCATATGAAGTGTGTGAATTTTTCATTTTACTGAGAGAAGATCTAATTTGCTATTCCCATGGGTGAAAAGCTGATTATGTATGAATTTGAAAATCATAAATGATTAATTACTTGGTTGAGAATGTTAGCCTTACAAACCTGGTTGGGTATGCACAAACAAGATGTGCTCTGATTAGAGGAGGAAGCAGAAATAACTGCACTAGCACAAATATCTATAAAGTGCCGCTGTAAAAAGAGAACATCACAAGATCTAGACATCATCTAAAAGTTAAATACAGGCCATCTCGATATGCACAAAGAACATGCCCACAGGTAGAGGTTGGTCTATCAGTGCTGAGCAAGCAAGGACTCCACCTGCACATTTACCCTTAAGATACATTATGCAAAAGTTACGAGTTATGTATAATTATACTCCCCCACTCAGTGTCAGGAGTGGCTCTTTTCTTCCCACACAGTCCTTGTACAAGCTGATTCATCAGGTTTTTATAATATTGCATTCTTCACTCATTTGGATAGAGTTGGATAAACTGACTTAAGACATTGTTGTAGAAGACAGACTACAAAGAAGCTACTGCCCTCTTTATAGTAACTCCTTTTGTCCCTGATGATATAGTTCTATACAGCCACTTTGTTTATGGAAGAAAATTCCATTCACATACTGGGACCTTTTTCAGAGCTCCTCAACCTATTCAAAGCATTGGCACCAGCAATGAGGACTAACTTCCCTTACCTTCCACCCCGCTTTTTTCTCAAACATGATGTATTTGTCAGCAATACAGTAAGATAGTGTTGAGTAAATACACTGGCATATTTCTACCACACAATAACCTATGTTTGTATGTAGGTATACTGCTTAACAAAAAGAAAGAGAAAGGAACTTTATCACTTCTGTTTGAGGTGGCTGCAGGATTTGGTTCACATACTAAAAAACCAAGAGACATATCAGGAATCCAAAGATCTAGGAAGAAATACCAGGTTCTCACAGGGTATGTGAAGAGCTATTTTAAAAGGCCAGCAACCTGGTACAGCAGCAGTAAGCACTCAGCAGGGCTTCCTTCTTGCTGTGGAAAAAGCCAGAATCACAAGCCTTTGCAGAACACACAAGCCCACCTGCCTGTGCTCACAGCACCCACTCAAACTGCTGTGCATCAGGTGAGGTACCAGGATGAGGGAAATAAACAGAAACGGGAAAGAGAGAAATGGACTGAGGAATGAATGCTTCCTGTCAGCCAAGATGACTGATGTCTTCCTGTGCTCTGCCCTACCACGTGTCTTACCTTAGAGGTAAACATCCCAAGACACAGCTCCGTTTTCCTGTGATTTCATTCCTTGGCTCTTCAGTAGAGATCAATAATTGCAGCAGTGCTGTCTGCCTGCAGAAGCCTGGGGCCACGCCATGGAAATCCCTGCGTGGCCATAAAGAGAACACAGCAATTGAATGGGAGGCACAGGAAGGAACAAGGCTTATCTAATACTTCAGCTCCACAAACACAAAGTAGTGCTAAAGTAGCACGTGGCCCCAAAACTGATACTCTGGGATGTTTTTACTTGAGTGAAAAGTTTGCAAATAAATATTGATTTTGAAGAGTTACGCTGTTTGTACACATGAAGTTTTACCCTGTGGCCCCAGATGTTAGTGCTTTATTAAACGCACACATTAAAGGAGACTCGCAATAAAGAATAGTGCGACTGCCGCCAATTTTTCTTTGGCAAACCTCCAGCAGGAAATAATCCTGTGTCAACTATAGCTCTCTCCTTTGGTACTGCACAGACTCAAACAATGCATCTGTTGGATTCATTTAAATATGTCCAAGTCTGTTTCATTGTTTTAAAGCATCAAAGACTTTTGCTGTTATAAATCATAACAAATAATCAGTAATTCTGAACAATAAAACCACATGATAAAAATGAGGCACAGCTGTTGCCAGTCATTGAAGGAGATTGTAAAAGAGAAACAGTTACATACATTATAGTGCATGTTATCTAAACGATTTGTTTGAAGACAAGGTGCTAACAATATCTCTCATTTTAAAGGTGAAGATTTTTTCTGTAACACTGAATCACCATAGTTAAAGAAAGATAGTAAAATTTACTATTTATTACAGCAAGAAACTTAATATATTGTAACATCTGGGGAGCCAGGGAAACAGCAGTGTATTTCCTAAAATACCTGGCATTGCTCCAGTGCTTTATCAGCATCCTTAAAACACAGGAATTGAAAAAACACCATTATTGCTGCATGATATGAATTTCAGACAAAGCAGAAAGTTTAACATAATTCAATTCAAGTCAGATCTGATTTGAATCGCTCTGTATAATAACCAAGCAGTTTAGAAGACTAAATCCTATTTTCAAAACTGTAATACAATATTTCCATATGTACTTTGTGCAGAAAACTTTATGTTACCTTTGGATATGGATAAGAAAAAAACTAAATAAAGCATCCAACTTTTTAAAAATAAATGCTGATTTAGTAGGTGCTTTTAAAAACCAGCAAGAATGGTGTGAATATTTACACTCAGGAGTATCTGGAACCCAAAGACTCTGTATTACTTACTGTTCACATTGAGAATTATCACTTAGCTAGATGCACGTGGGTTCATCACATCAGTCCTCATGTTTACTTTGCAATTCTTCCCACAGCAGTTTTAAAAACCTGGAAGTGTTCATCAGACCAGAATGTAGTTCCGCTGCAAACATTAATGTTAAAATATGTTTGTCAGAAGCCACAGAGGGCTTGTAATCAAAAGGCAACTTGGGTTGCCTTCCAAGGGGCAGCATTACAGAAAACACTACTGTTTGGGAGTCAGGATTTTTCTGACAATAGAATTAGCATGCTTGAGGGCAGCCAGACTGATTGACAAGAGGATCGATTTATGACCCTTCTGCTCTACATACTATGTGGGATACAACTAAGAGATGCTACTCTTGTTCTTAGTCTCCTGACCTCCCACCCTGCCAAATCTGTGTCCCCTTAGCTTTGCCAGGACTGACATTTTCTGTGGGAATAAATTCTGAATTATAATCCTATCCTTCATTCTCTTTGAGCTCTTGAAACTGCTGTTCTCTTTAAGATTATGTACCAAAACATCTCTTTTCTGCAGTCTTGGTCTTGAGTGTTCCTTACTAAAAGTTTTAACTTGCTAAACTCACTCTTTTTCTGATCTCCTTCATATGTCTTCCAAACTTGCCTTTACTACATACAGCACTTCAAGGTAGCAGACAATGGTTTAGGATACTGATGTATGGAAACAGAAGTACGTGATGCTGGCCACTAACATCTTATTGGCACTCCCCATCCATCTCATTCAATCTGCTGTTCCTTACAGTGTAGTTAGGTAGTAAGCTCTTCAAAACAAGGAGTGAGCTTTTATTCCATGTTTGCTTAATGCCTAGCAAAATTAGATGTCCTTCAACAATGATAACACAAACAGTAGCAAGATTATTAGAACAATAAATACGTAAGTACTATAATAGTTTGAGGAGCTAGTTTGTACCTTAGCCTCTTTCTGCTAGGGAACAGCAAGGACTAGTTGCTTCCTAGAGGGTGGGAGGTTGGGAATAACACAGCCAGCAAAGCAGAAGCCATCCTACAGTACTAAAGCAATAGTAACAAGACAGGTATTAGCATAGCAGACAGGTTTAACTCCAAACCCACATCATTAGATAAGTTCACATCAAGAAAGCAGATCCAAGATACAATCAGGAAGTCAGTCTACAGGTGAGGATGATGCCTAGTGAAGATAACCAGGGTCAGACACCATCTACTGATCTCCACAGCAGGTCCATATATAGGTCAGGTTCAAAGTCAGACCAGGAACTACAATGTGCAGCTTACAACCTAAACCAACAGAGACAGATAGTTCTTAAGGCCCAGGGCTGAGCTTATATGGAGCTCCTGGGTCCATGGGGCAGAGGGTGTGGGTGGAGGCCCCAGGTGGGGTTGGTTGGGGCAACTGAGTGAATGCACTCAAAACCATTATAATTACTGCCTGCTAATGCTAAAACAGTAATGACAGAGTTGACTTTTGCCGAACATTACTGATCAAGGATAAGTTTGACTCATTATAAATGCCATTTTTATAACTACATGTCTTAAGTTTATCTTTCAAAGCTTTCATTAAAGTAGTCTGGTCACACACAGAGAAGCTAGTTTACATGCTTGGGGATGATTTATGCTGCATTTTAATAGAGCTATTCCAAGACAGTGATTTAAAATGTATTTGAAATGACAGATTGGAAAACTGTTTATAATATACTTCATCGGAGGCCCCTGCACACACATTTGATTAAGTTCTAGTTCACCCAAAACTATGCCAGTATTTCTGTCACCCACAGGCTACTTTAACAGAAATTTCAATACAAGGATTAACATAGGGCTATGAACAAGTAAGACAGCATTTATGGATAGTTTGTATAGATGTTTCATGCCTCTGTTTTGGGGGATTGCTTAACATCTGCCCCCTGAGCGGTAAAAAAAAAAAAAGTCTTCAACCTTACTGTCCCACCTGGTAAACCACTGGAGAATGTCTTTCATGTTCACATGCCAATCCCATTTCACTTTGTTGAAGCACGTAAGTTTGTTGTAGCTCTTGCTCTAACAAAACACACTTCTCCCTTACAGCTCTGGGGTTTAGTAATTAGGAGATGGAAAGATAAAGTTGGGATGGAAGGAAAGCATAATCTCAGAAGTAGTCAGGTGCCTGATAGCATATCTTAATTTTAAAATGTTCTCTGAACACGAGTAAAGCCTAGAAAAGTTATATTCTTTTTAAAAATTCATTATTTTCCCACCAATCACAACAAATCATAAACATTACCTGTCACTGCTGGTAACTGCAACTGGAGTCTGATTTAATCTCAGGAGATTATTACGACGTGCAGATACTAGTATTTCAAACTCTGCAGCTATGACTGGTAAAATCAGTTTAACAATACTCCAGGAAACCAGTGGCAGGCTGAATAGAAAAGAAACACTAAAGAAATTTTGGATTATGCAAGGACATTAACGTAAGTGCTTTCAGGTTCATCTATACTGTGACTATTATTTTTCAAGGGAAACACACCTATCTGCAAATTTTGATAAATTTAAATAATATAAAGGAACCAGGAAGTTGTACTTCTGTTCCTTATATCCACTTACTGCAACAAAACTGTGGATATTTCTTATCACTGAAATAACAAAAACTGAATCCTCAAATGACAGATTGACAGGATACCTCATTTTTTATTGTAATAGTATTATAATGGATTGTCACTGTAGAACCCAAGAGTGTGCTCACACCCCCTTGTATTTGGTAGGGTGGTTTGTGCCTCAGAGCAAGTCACTAGCTGGGTGCAAAGGGAGATAGTATATGTGTCCAGACACACAGAGGTATTGGGAGTAGCAAGACTCAGAAGTGATACAGGGGAGCCTGGTCTTGCCACTGCACTCCATATTGCAGTAAAATTTTGTTCTTTGGGATTAGGGGGTATTTTTGCAGGCATTATGATAAAGAGATTTCCAAGGGTCTGTTTGGAGGGCAATGCAGCAGAGGGATTTAAATGGTCTCCGTGTGAACTGAGAGGAAACAGAACACAGAAATGACAAGAACAAGAGACTGGAATTGTGGCTTTGCATGTTATTGCGTGAGAGAACACATAGGCTAGGAAAAAGTTTAAAAATGAAGTTTGTCAGGCAGAAAAAGCTGGTGCAATCAAGTATAGCAATGGAGCAGAGGAATTTTCTTTTGAATCAGTATTGCAGCCAGAAAATGGGATAATACTGCACAAAGAGATTATATACAAAGAGATTATATATTTTGTAAGAGGGGAGTTTAAATTGTATGCTGAATAGGGAAAGCCGCATTGTTGGAAGCTTATCCTTATGGTGAGTAAAAGACCAGGATAAAAAAGCTGCTCTTTATGCAAAATGTTATGGCTGTTCACAGGTAACTTACATCTGGAAAAGTACCCCTAAAACACAAGAAATACTGAAGGTGTCACTTCTTCTAGTAACAGACACGATAGTATCTCATTAGTAATGAATATGATAACAGTAACTCATTTGTAAAACGGGTATATTGTAAAGTATTTGTAAGTCATAAAGCACACCTTGTGTAGTCTCTATTTTAGTTAAGAGGGCAGACGCTCGTTCCTTACTGAAGCTGACACGGCTCAGAGTGATTATTACGGATGTTAACATTGTGATGCTTCTAATTCTGTAGTGTGAGTGTGTAAGATAACCCCAGTTAGTTTTTGTAACCTCAGACTGTTTTAAACAGTGTGTTGGTACAAGTGTAACTATATTGGACTGTGTCAATTGTATGTGAGTTCAGTGTCTCAAGGTTAATTTGTTGGAGCAAAATTACTGTTGAAGGCAAAACCAGCTGTAGAGCGATGCAGCCCTTTAATCTGGTTACAAGTAAAAATATTTACTAATGGCTGTACTTCAGCTAAATCAGATTCCATTATTTTGATTGCATGATTTTTAACCGTTGCAGTTTTACCGATAGAGGCCTCAGTATATATGGAACTGATTCACATAAGGGACTAAATTTCCATCACTACTTCTTTTCTCCTGTTCATATCAATATATTGGTATTGGAAGCCATCTACACAGCTGTAACGGTGGCAGAGCAGTTAAAATGACAAAAGATGTGTAAGGCAAGTCCCGAGTTTTCTTTGCTGTGACAGCAGTTGATTTCTTGCTGCTGTTACTCGTGTAAATGCTTAATACAACAAAACGCAAGGGCAGTGTGGATCGCTTTCAAAGCCTTCGGACTGTATCCATGTCTCTGTGTTATCCCGAAGCCGTGTCTGCCCACGGAGTCCTGCCCGAGGTGGCCGAGCGAGGGAGTGAACGGCGGGGCTTGGGCGCTTTGCAATGCTACAGTAACGTCTTTCCCGGTAGGAGCCCCGCGAGGACCCCCTTGTCCTGCCCTGCCGTTGCACGTTGCATGGAGTGTCTGGTCCGTGCTGAGCCGCCGCCGAGAGGGGGAAGACTCCGCGCAGGGC